AAATCCTTTTTATAAATATCTTTAAGGATACCAAAGAAAACGTGAATTACATTCTTGTATAGATAAGGAATTTCAGCAGAGAACTGAAAATTCTAAAAAGAGGATGTTAATAAATTCCCCCAACCCCAAAGCAAGGATTAGATTTATAAACAAATTACTAGTTATTGTTGGAGAATATATAAATAGCAGCTCTGAAATAACTTTTTCCTGAAGTTATACATTCTTGTTTTCATATAAGCAATGACTGAGGGCCCACTGGATACAAGATATTATATGAGGGGTACGAAGAAGCATGAGATTTAATCCTAACCTTCAGAGAAATACAATGTAGTGAAAAGATGTGCGGACATAACTATTTCAAGGCAGACCACTCTAATAGAAGTATAGGTATGTCTGTGGAAACATAAAAGAGAATGAGATTTTTCTGGCAAGGAGGATCATGGAAAACCTCATGGAAGACTTAGTATTTGATCTGGAAATGGAAAATGCCTATGTGAAATGTTAATAGATAGGGTTTATGTCCACTGGTGTCAGATCCCTGGGACAATGCCAGGACTCCAGAGTCTTCAGCAGCACACAGATCACTGCCTGGTGATGTCAGGACTGCCTCCTCATTATTTCTAAAAGGAAATTAGGGGAGAGAGCTGGTCACCTAATAGGAATCCCAGGGAAAACAGGAAGTAGGAGTGGGATGGGAGTGGAGAAAAGTGGATAAAGCATTATATTTGTCATTATCCTAACATGGTAAAGTCATATTTCTGGATTTTATTGGAGATGAAAACATTCCTTCCTCTGTATTGCTTTATGTATGTTGTCTCTACCTCTGTCATGCATTTATTTCATTTACACATATTTCTCTATCCTTGGGTTGTAGGCTCATTCTGGATAGCCACTTATTTTGATCACCCATAGCAAGTGACACCATGCCTTACAAATACTAGGATGCCTTATAAATACTTGATGAATGTTTGCTTAATTGGAGTTCAATTTAGCCCTAGGCAGAGTTTACAGGAATTAAACTCAGGTAGTCTGGCTCCAACATCTGTGCTCTTAATCACTATACTGCATTAATGATGGCTTATGAATAATCTTGATAAATGGGGTATAGAATATGTTTTAAAACTATAGAGAGACTGGGTCTCACTATGTTGCGCAGGCTGGTCTCAAACTCCTGACCTTAAGTGATCCTCCCTCCTCAGCCTCCCGAAGTGCTAGGATTACAGGTGTAAGCCACCATGCCCAGCCAGGCTGTAGAATTTTTATTTTATCGTATCAGCAAGAGGGAGCTAATGAAAGTTTTGCTAAGTGCCACACTTTTGGGTGATTAGGCTTCTGATTATATTCAGTGCGTGTTAGAGGGAGGGAGAATCTATACAGAGTGGAGCTGATAAGAAGTCTTTTCACAGTGGCTCAAGTGAGAGGACGTTAGGCTCTGAAGCAGAGCAAAGGCAGGGGAAATTTAAGGAAGAGATAGATTTGAGAGGAGAGTGGTAATACAATCAATGATGTATTACAGTCTTGATGAGGAGGGGGAAGAGAAAGGAGTTGAAGGCATACCTAAGTTTTTGATAGAGCAATGAGGGAGAAAAGGTGATGCTTTTAGTGGAAATTGGGAATGAGAAGTGTAAATTTTGGAGGGTAGAATAGGGGATATGAGGAGAACAGTAAATGGGAAAATAGGTATCCCATGGAGAAAGTTCTTTAATTTACCTTCATAATCTGTTACAGCTCCCTTGAAATCTCTGTTGACAAGGTTCTTCATTTTCATTGTCCTGTTTATATCTGACTCAGTCTCTGATATGCTCATTCAGACTCATTTCCTCTTCTATTCTGGGGGTTGATGAAAATGATAAAGTGCCATTGAACTTATAAGTTCTTACGAGAATTTGCCCCAAATCAAAACTTTGACACCATTTCTCTCATACATCAGTTGCCTGTGAGTGGCTGTTTGGATTTGTAGATTAGATTATAAAGGATATTGAGGTTCTCTGCAATCCTTGTTGCTTTCGTGTCCTCGTGAATTTAGGCCTAGCTTGTTGTTGCCCAACTCTCTTTTCTGTACTTGAGATCTATGTGAAAAACATATAAAGATAAATATGAGGGAGACAGCAAAATCCAGCTTAGAATGAGCAAAGAAATTCTTTCTGCCAAACAACAGATGCAGTAGCCCTCCATAACTGTGAGCCCTGTCCTCTTTATTCTTTTTGGTTACATATTTAAGCTGCCTTCCTTTCTCCCTGCTGTCTTGAGTGACCAGGCAGTTGCTTTGCAGTACTCTGACTCATGAACTGATAAAATTTGCAAACTCTTCTAAAGACATTCTATTCTTACACCTTAACCAGTCATATGTTTCAGGACGGACAGTGTCCATCCAGCCTTTTTTTTTTCTCCCGCAACTCTTGAGTCTTCAAAAAAAAAAAAAAAAAGAAAATCTAGGCTAGATGCAGTGGCTCATGCCCATAATACCAGGACTTTGGGAGGCTGAGGCAAGAGGATCACTTGAGCCCAGGAGTTCGTAGCCAGCTTGGGCAACCTAGGAATACCCTGTCTCAAAAAAAATAAATAAATAAAAAATCATCTAGATGGCTTCTTCTGCCTGTATGTTATTTGACTTTAGAACTCCAAAGCTAATTTCTTCTCACCTCATTCTACTCAAAGGCTACCCACCAGGATATCTTACTCGAATGAGTCACTTAGGGGTATTTTGTTGCTAATAAAATTAATTTAATATATTTCACAACTACCACAAAAGTAAAATAACAATAAAGGTTTTTCTTTTCATAAGTCATAAAACCACAAAAACAAAGAATAGAAGAAGAAAGAGATAATAGTGATGAGATCATGGGAAGGTGGAAATCCTACTGACAAGTATGAACTGATGGATCAGACTTAAAGTTGAATCATGGGCCAGCAGTGGAGGAAGTGGGGCAAGAACTTGGTTTGCACCCCAGAATCCTCAAAAAGCTTCATAATTGGTGGCATCAGCCAGCTTTAATGGGGGAAGGGGTAAGTTTACAAACAAGAGAACTGGTTGAAAATTTATATAACAAATATTTGGACTCTCAGATTCTTTCCTCCATCTGCTCTCAGAAAGGGGGAACCCTTTCCCTTGTTTGTAAGTCTACAAACAAGAGAACTGGTTGAAAATTTAAATAAAAAAAACACTTAGACTCTCAGATTCTCCCCTCTATCTGCTCCCAGAGGGGAAGCTCTTCTCCTCTATTAACAGAAGACTGGTGACTTATTTTCTGGAGAGAGTAAAACAGGTAGTCTCTGGTCTGGTGGACTCCTGACACAAGTGAGTGCGTAGATTTTGAACTAAAGCAGGGGAGAGAGAAATAAATGAAACTTTGCATATTGAATGTTGAAAGCTCTAGGCTCTTCTCTAACTCAGCTCTCAGAATGCTGGTCTTACATATTTCAGACTGCAGTTTGGAAAATTCATCTCTAGAAAATCTGAGCAGCTCTAAGAAAAAACTTAAATGAATCAGTCCAATCTCATCTCCCTGTACCGAAGCCATAGTTGACAAGTCCTACTACATGCACTAATGTTCCCAATGACTTATAATGAGTGTCCCAGTCTTCCATGTTAGCAAACAGTCAAGCATCATCACACATCTCAGAAAGTCTATAACATGAAGTCTCACCAGTACGAACAGAACAAAGCAACTTGGAACAAGAAACTATGCAAGGACATTGGAAACCTGCCCCTCTAAATGAATGAATGAATGTCTCTGAGAGTTGAAAAAGAGATTGCATCCTTGAAAGAAAGAACAATATGCTGTTTCAAAATTTTTTTTAACGAAGCCTTGGAAATTTAGAATATGGTTGACACCTGGGAGGGAAGATCACTGGAAGCCAGGAGTTTGAGACTAGCCTAAACAACATAGTGAGACCCTGTCTCTACAAAAATTTTAAAGTTAGCTGGGCATGGTAGCACATGCCTATAATCCCAGCTACTCAGGAAACTGAAGCAGAAAGATCACTTGAGCCCAAGAGTTTGAGGCTGCAGTGAGCTATGGTTGCATCACCACACTCTAGCCTAGGCAAGAATGCAAGACCCTGTCTTTAAAATATAAATACACATATACATATACACACTACCCATACATACATTTACGTGTATACGTATTTATGTCTATATATTTATATGTGTGTATATCTATCTATATATATGTGTGATAGAAGAAATGAAAAACTTAATAGAAAGGTTGGAAGATAAAATTGAGGCCACTGCTCAAAAAGTGGAGTTTAGCAGCCAGACATAGTGGCTCAAGCCAGTAATCTGAGCACTTTGGGGGCCCAAGGCGGGAGGATCACTTACCAGCCCGGGCAACATAAGGAGACAATACAAAAAAAAAGTAGAGTTTTGTTTTGTTTTGTTTTTAATGATGCAGAAAATAAGACAGAGAAGTAGAAAATCAGCCAAAAAAAAAAATCTATTATCTGAATTACAAACTTCCTTGAAGAGAAAACCAGAAAATGAAGAGAAAATCATCAACAAAATTTTGATAAAATTTCTCAAAACTGAAGGTAATGAGTTTCTATATTCAAAGCATCTGGTGAGGTACCCGACACAATGAGTAAAGAAGGTCTCCCACATCATTAGTGATGTTTCAGTGCATAAGAAGATGCTGAAAGTTCCAGAGGGGAAACAAAGAAACAGGTCACATGCAAGGACAAAGAATCAGAAGGGCAACAATAGAAACAGAAATGGAACAATGCCCTTAGATTCTGAAAGAAGATATTTTTCAGCTTAGAATTCTGTGGCTACCCAAAATATCACATGTGAAGATAGAATAAAGACATTTTATGGGCCGGGTGCAGTGGCTTATGCCTGTAATCCTAGCACTTTGGGAGGCTGAGGTGGGTGGATCACCTGAGGTCAGGAGTTCAAGACCAGCCTGGCCATCATGGTGAAACCCCATCTTTAAAAAAAAAAAAATAAATAAAAATAATTTTAAAAAGACATTTTATAATACGTAAGGTCTTACAAAGTTTGCTTCCAAAGCACCCCTTTTCAGAAACCTAGCAGAAGAAGTACGTCACCTAACCGAGAAGTAAACCAACAAGAGGAAGACTGAGGTTCCAGTTTAAGTCAGGGATAGAGAATCTCCAGGATAATGAAGTCTGGTCCCATAGTGTCAACTATTCAGCATATCCAGAGAGCAAATGGCTAGAAGATATAGCATAGGGATATTTTTGAAGGATGCACAAAAAACTGTTAATAATAGTTACCTTAGGAGTAAAAATGGGAGGGCAAAAAAGGAGCACTTTTCCTTTATATTTTTATAATATTCGAATCCTTGCTATAGCAGGTATTACTTCTTTTGTTTTCTTTTCTTTTGTTTGTAGCAACAGAAGTCTTATTTTGTTGCCCATGCTGGTCTTGAACATCTGGCTACAAGGAGGAATTTTGCACCCAGTCTTTTTTATTTTTTTTTTCCAAACAAAAGATCTTGCTCTGACACTCTAATGGTTTTTTTTCAAACCATTCAAATTTAGCAGTGGGTTTGCTTTTTGTTTTTTAAGAAAGAGGGTGTGGCAGCTCACACCTGTAATCCCAGCACTTTGGGAGGACTAGGCTGGTGGATCACTTGAGGCCAGGAGTTGGAGACCTGCCTGGCCAACATGGTGAAACGCCTTCTCTACTAAAAATACAAAAATTAGCTGGGCGTGGTGTTGCATACCTGTAATCCCAGCTACTCGGGAGGCTGAGGCACAAGAATCACTTGAATCTGGGAAGCAAAGGCTGCAGTGAGCTGAGATCATGCCACTGCCCTCCAGCCTGGGTGACACAGTAAGAATCTGTCTCAAAAAAGGAAGGAAGGAAGGGAGGGAGGGAGGGAGGGAGGGAGGGAGGGAGGGAGGGAGGGAAGGAATGCTAACTATGCAAGCAAGCAAGGAAGGAAGGAAATGCTAACTATGCTGGGAAGTATTTATATCCTCTAGCCAACTTTCCTTGGTAATTCTAGGCTTATACTTCCTCACTACAGGAAAAGAGCTTGGGAGGAAATGTCTTTTAAGCAAGAAAAACCCAAACACTCTCCTAAAAGATAAGCTTCCTCCCCCATTTCAGTATTAAATTTTCCATAAATGTAGGGCAAAGGAAGGTTTCTTTTGGATTCCTGAGCTGCAGCAGTCCTCTTTTTGCCAGAGTCCTTCCATAAGAACTTTCTTTGCCTCACAACCTTGATTACCAATAATTAATCTCAGATGAAAGATTCTGTGTTACAGGCTTCCTCTATCTTTAACTTAGAGAACATGCTGAGAATAATTTGTTTGCTTGCTTACCAGAGATCTTACCTTGATCCAGAAGAGCTGATAGGATCATAAAACCGCATTGATCTTTCCTCAGTATTCTTTCTCTACAAAATGAGGGGGTATGACATCTTAGCCCAGGACAACTGTGAGATTTACTGTATATCAGGAGGGGAAAGGGGGAAGAAGTGGATTGTCATTCAATAACGGCTATGTTTCAAAGTCATAAAATTTAAAGAACTCTGTAGTGTGTTCTAGTCCCCATGCTTTCTTTGCTCTTTCTCAATGTATTTGGATAAATCACTACAGAGCAACACAGCCAAAATGTCCAAACCACCCACTTTCCTATTCCCAGCACATGAATGAGAGGGAGCCAGCTGAGATCTGGGCCAACCACTTAGATGACTTGTACGTCTAATTTTTGTTCCATGATATGAAACTCAAAATAAATCAAAAAGAAAAATATTTTCAGATACCAGCTAATTCACCCAAAAAGGTCTTCAGCCTTTTAGTCCTTGCACACATGCAAAACTGATAAACAAACCTACTCCGAACACAGATAACAAGGATTTAGAAGTTAATTCCTACTGGCACAAACAGATTCTCATATATAGCAGTCTTACTGAACTTCTGTGTTCAGTGTTAGGCTCTAAAACTTGAGTGAAATCTGAAGAACATTTAGGGTCTAAAAGGAATTGAGAAAGACTTGGAAAACAGGGCCTTTGAAGACATGTTATAGGAAACAGAATTTGAGCTTAGAAAACAATGCATGTGATCGAAAAGATAGAATAAGAGAAAATTAATATAAATATTAGAGGAAGCTATTTAGTTTTGATGTTAAGGATAAACTTTCTGACTGAAACTTGTTAAGCCCAAAAATGGACACCCAGGCCAGGCACGGTGGCTCACGCCTAGAATCCCAGCACTTTGGGAGGCCGAGGTGGGCAGATCACTTGAGGTCAGGCGTTCGAGACCAGGCTGGTCAACATGGTGAAACCCTGTCTCTACTTAGAAAAAAATTAGCTGGGTGTGGTGGTGGGCACCTGTAATCCTAGCTACTCGGGAGGCTGAGGCAGGAGAATTGCTTGAACCCGGGAGGCAGAGGTTGCAGTGAGCTGTAATTGTGCCCCTGCACTCCAGCCTGGGCAACAGAGCAAGACTCCGTCTCAAAACAAACAAAAAACAGCCAAAGGAATGTTGTAGAGCTCAAGCTACGAACATGTGGAGGGTGCAGTAAGTTCACTCAGTGCATGAAGTAGTGTTGGATACAGATGTTTACAGGTACAGATGTTTAACAGCAATATTTCCCTAATACCATAAATCTGATATTCCAAGCAATTCGCAGAGAAACGAATCCATTCTGCACAAATTTGGCCCCTCTGCATGGCCACAGCACCTTCAATTTGGTTCACTTACCAGAAGAACAGCATGTTCTGTTTAGAAGCAGGACCTGATCCCAGGATAGGATGAACTGCATAAATGGAGGTGCAGTGAGAAATGATAAAAGTCTAAGAGGTTCTAGAAAAGAGAAATCTCTTTCTAGGCCTCATTACCAGTTATAGACATTTTTAGAAAAGGAGAGGGAAAATAGATGCAGAACACATCTAAAAATGAACAAAGCTATGGTAATTTTAAGAATGGAGGCTGTTTATAGAGAGAGGAAATTGGTTTGTATAATTAGATAGATCCAAAAATTACCTTGTCTTTATAATATACCTTTCTGTTAAGGAGATAGAACATTTTCTCTTGCCAGAGAAAGACAGAGTGTCTTCCTTTTGTAAAAGAACATCACCAAATTACAAGCAGGTTTAAGTCACACTTTGAGTTGCTGGCAGACCCAAGACAAACCCCCAGGTCTTCTCCTTTTGGCTAGCCTGTATACTGGTGCAGAGCCATTCTTGCATCAGTATGAAACATTTATTTTTTTCCTTGGCTTCTGTCTTCACCGCTGACCTTCATCTCTCCTGTCCTGTAGCTGGGATGAAAGCAGCTCCATCAGCAGTGGACTCAGCGATGCCTCAGACAATCTCAGTTCAGAAGAATTCAATGCCAGCTCCTCACTCAACTCCCTCCCAACTACTCCTACTGCTTCTCGCAGGAACTCAACAATAGTGGTACGTGAGTTTGCAAACACCCAAGCCGCTGTCTCAAGATGAACCACAGGGCAAACAGCATTGTCTGTGTATGGGGTTGCACGTACACACCCACTCCATGGGTTCTCATAGGCCTTTGACCAGGTCATTTTAGAGCTGCCCCTGCAAAAAAAAAAAAAAAAAAGTTAAGGCTACTCACCCAAGACATTAGATATTATCATATTGTCTATACTTAGTGCCTACACCAATCTAGAGTAATACCTGTAAGAGCTATTCCAACTGGAGAAGAAAAAGAAACCTAGAGATATATGCCATCTGCTGTCGGGAATCCTAGGTATCTAGGTAGAAACCCTAGGTTGACTTAGTACTCTGGGATGCACAGCGCCAGGTGCTAACTAAATCAATCCCGTCAGGTATCCAGTTCCCCATCTGCATATAAGTATCTCACTCTGCCTTTTTGTCTTTTCTTTAGCTACGCACAGACTCAGAGAAGCGCTCACTGGCAGAAAGTGGGCTCAGCTGGTTTAGTGAATCAGAGGAAAAGGCCCCCAAAAAACTGGAGTACGACAGTGGTAGCCTGAAGATGGAACCTGGGACATCTAAGTGGCGGAGGGAGCGGCCTGAGAGCTGTGATGATTCATCCAAGGGTGGAGAACTGAAAAAGCCCATCAGCCTAGGACACCCTGGTTCCCTGAAGAAGGGCAAGACCCCACCTGTGGCTGTAACTTCCCCCATCACTCACACAGCCCAGAGTGCCCTCAAAGTTGCAGGTGAGCCTGGAATAAAGGAAGGCACGAGGGCAAAGACCTAGTTCTTTGGTTGCTCCTCTTCTTAGTGGCTATTAACCCATAGGATGATAGCAAACATTTGCATAGTGCTTTAACATACACTATCTTGTCTGGTCTAAGGACAGTCCTGTGAATTAGGAAAGATGGGTATTATTATTTCCATTTTACAAATGTGAAGGAAATAGAAACTCAAAGAGGTTAAGTGGCTGGGCCAAAATCACAGATAATATGAGGAACAGGAGGGAGTGTATTTCGTTTAGAGACTAGTTTGACCTCCTTCCAAACGCTTCCAAGTTAGTCAGTCTATGTACTTATCTTCATAAGATATTATTTGACATCCCAGGAAGTTCCTAAGAAAACAAGAAATAAAATGGCTACAGCAAGAGATTATAGTTCCCCCAAAGTTGGCCCCTTGGGTAACTTTTAGACTTAATTGGCGTTTTCCTCTAGTCCCTAATTACCAGGGGATATTGTCAAATTCGATTCCATTTGCTTCCCCTCCTTCTTTTCTCTTCCACAACCAGTTGTTAGGTGGATGTTTGCCTCTGCCATTTTAATCAAAATGGACCATCTTACTCTGGAAGCAAGTAAAAAAAAAATTCGTACCTTCCCCACCCCTCCCAGCCAGAGTCTTTCAGACAAGAAACTTTATCAGCTTATCTTGTACCTGTTTATCCATATTTAGGCCTCTAAAATTCTGTAATACATGGACAATGTTCACTTCTCCCACGGAGGGTAAGAAAAGGATGGGTTTTAAGGATATTGGTCAGTTTCAGCTCTTATCTCATTTCCTGTCCTCTTGCAGGCAAACCCGAGGGCAAAGCTACAGACAAGGGTAAGCTTGCAGTAAAGAATACTGGTCTCCAACGCTCCTCCTCTGATGCTGGTCGGGACCGCCTGAGTGATGCTAAGAAGCCCCCCTCGGGCATTGCTCGCCCCTCCACTTCAGGATCCTTTGGCTACAAGAAGCCTCCTCCTGCCACAGGCACAGCCACTGTCATGCAAACTGGTGGTTCAGCCACTCTCAGCAAGATCCAGAAGTCCTCAGGCATCCCTGTCAAGCCAGTAAATGGGCGCAAGACTAGCTTAGATGTGTCCAACAGCGCAGAGCCAGGATTCCTGGCTCCCGGAGCCCGTTCCAACATCCAGTACCGCAGCCTGCCCCGGCCAGCCAAGTCCAGTTCTATGAGTGTCACCGGTGGGCGGGGGGGACCTCGCCCTGTGAGCAGCAGCATTGACCCCAGTCTCCTCAGCACGAAGCAGGGAGGCCTTACGCCTTCCAGACTGAAGGAGCCTACTAAAGTAGCCAGTGGGCGGACCACTCCAGCCCCTGTCAATCAGACAGATCGGGAAAAGGAGAAGGCCAAAGCCAAGGCCGTGGCCTTGGACTCAGACAGCATCTCCTTGAAGAGTATTGGCTCCCCAGAAAGTACTCCCAAGAACCAACCAAGCCACCCCACAGCCACCAAGCTGGCAGAGCTGCCACCAACCCCTCTCAGGTACCCAGTGTGGGCAGCCTCCTCCTCGTCTGTTTGCTTTGTCATTTTTTTGCATAACTCTGCCCTCCTTAGACTAGGTGAGACATGGCCTATCCACTATTGTCTCTAGGCCTTTGCATCTCCCTCGTATGCCAAGGTTCTAAAAGAATCTCGTTTCTGAAAGTTCTGAAAGACTGAATCCCTCTTTCAAAACTCTATTCAAAACTTACCTCATTTGTACTATTCTTTGATCAATCCTCAACCTGTCTTCAGCACTTGTGTGGGTGATTTTACTGTTTATTTGTACATATATACCTATTTGCATAAATTCACTTGTATCCCCCATGTGCATATGCTGTCCCTGTTATCTAAGCTGAAGGTGCCCTAAGTTGGGTATCAGATTTCCTTCATTGTATTTCACAACAGCATTAGGATAAGCCTCTGTGCTTAGCAAATAGGCAGAAAACAAGACTGGATAAGATTTCTTTAAGCTCCTATCTGCCTCGCTCTGTAATTCTGTTATTCTAAATATTCCATTTGATCTTCTCTCAGGGCCACAGCGAAGAGCTTTGTCAAACCACCCTCACTAGCCAATCTAGACAAGGTCAACTCCAACAGTCTGGATCTACCATCATCCAGTGACACCACCCATGCTTCAAAGGTCCCAGATCTGCATGCTACAAGCTCAGCATCCGGGGGCCCTCTCCCTTCTTGCTTCACCCCCAGTCCGGCACCCATCCTCAATATTAACTCAGCCAGCTTCTCCCAGGGCCTGGAGCTAATGAGTGGTTTCAGTGTGCCAAAAGAGACCCGCATGTACCCCAAACTCTCAGGCCTGCACAGGAGCATGGAGTCCCTCCAAATGCCAATGAGCCTGCCCAGTGCCTTCCCCAGCAGTACTCCCATCCCCACCCCACCTGCTCCCCCTGCTGCTCCCCCAGAGGAAGAGACGGAAGAGCTGACTTGGAGTGGAAGCCCCAGAGTTGGGCAATTGGACAGGTAGGTAGATAAGACAGCAGAACCTCGGCCTGTGGCTGTGTCTTGGGCATGTTTTGCCATTAGCAATACTATCCTATACTTTATTATCATGTTGTGACTTTTGCAATTTTTCACATACATTAAGTAATTTAATTTGCTTCACAAGAACCCCATGAGATAGGTAAGATATGTTTTTGTTTTAAAAGTATTATTCTTTTATTACAAATGGAGAAACCAGTGCACAAAGAAGTTAAATGACTTATCCAAGATCTCATAATTAGGTTAACCTGTCATCCAGAGCTTTTGCTTCCTAGTCCAAAATCTTTTTTTTTTTTTTTTTTTTTTTTTTTTTTTTTTTTTTTTTTTTTTGAGATGGAGTCTTCTTCTCTAGCCCAGGCTGGAGTGCAGTGGCATGAACTC